GTAGATTTGGGGAATACTTACTTGGATGAATGGAGCCTCATGTGGTTTCCCCCCTTCCCTGCATTGCCACCTGGTTTGAAGTTGCTTTTTGACTTGTGGCTTTTTGTTGTGAATATGAAGTAGCACCAGTGCAAGTTATGCTCTAAAAAGCAAAAGCAGCTATAGTTTTTGGTCCCCCGTTGCTTGCATTGGCAGCTGTTGCTCTAAGCCTTGCAGGGGGGACATGGATGACCATTTAACAAAGGAAGAGACCATTTTAAATCTTAGCTGACAGAGGCTTTTTGTTTGTTTGGTTCTGGATTACTGAGAAGATCACTAATTTAGAGGGAGTGCTGCCAACATTTTCTATAGGTTATCCTCTCTTCAACAGAGACAGAACTAGGTGTATTGTCAGATCTTGGTATTTCTTTTCTCCAGACATACACAGGTATTGGTCTGTTAGAAGGAAAGAGTCTTTTCATTAAATCACTTTACAGCAGTTTCTCTGTTATTTTCATGGCTAATAGAAAACAAATGGACAAAAATTCCTAGTTTGACTGCAATGTTTTTATGTCTGTATCTACGAGTTTTTGCTGGAAAAAGATTTGTGTCCTTGAATCTTTCAACAGAAATTAAACAAGTTAATCTATAAAGTGTACATGTGATGAATTAAAAGTGGATAAAACTACATTGTTGTCAGATTGACTCACAGTCCAGGTCAACACCCCTCTCCCCCAAGTTTTGAGCACTATCTAGCTTTCAGTTGTTTGCTCATTTAAAGACCTGGGTTTTACACAGGTAACGTCTGTCTTGTTTGAGATCTAGAAGACTTTAATAGCTAGATTTTGAGCTGATAATTACAGGTAAATGGGGGAGGGGAATCAAGGAAAAGGGAGTAAGAACAATAAATGCATCTCTCCTTGACTTTGAACAAGTCTGCCAAAAAGAGAAATGCAGGGTCATTAGATGAGAGAAGAGTGGGGAGATTTTTATAATCAGACAAACAATGAAATGCTCTGTTTCACCTCAAGTGTTGCCCCAGTGTTTGGAGCATGTGGCAGTGGGAGATAATGCCACAAGAACATAATCTCCTGTGCTGGAGCTGAGTTTTAGCCTTCAGCTCTTCATGCCTTTTATGATCAATGGTAAGAGAGGGTATGGCTTGGTGCTGAACCACTGCCATCCTCCTGCCTTTCTTCTCTCTGTGGTTGATTAATAGTAGGATTGTAATCATTAGATGTAGGTTTTATTTTATAATCTTTTGGAGCAATTTAATCTTGGGTAGAGGAGATGTGAAGGAGTTTGGACTGAAGGCCTCTGGGCGAAGAATGTTTGTGTAAATCTTCAAGAGTTTTCAGTGCAAATTAAAGAGGAAAACTGTTCTGTGATGTATTCAGTGCTTTACATAATGCTGTTCATTCCCACTAGCTGAAATAGCCCCAAAACCATGAGGGTTTCTGACTAACCTATATTAATACCTCTCTTGGCACAAGGGTAGTTTCTCTCAGAAAAAGAACAAAATAAATTTCAGAGTACTGAATGTGTAACATGGACATTACCAAGAAACTGCTAAGAGAGCTCTCCTGCAGGAACAAAGCAGTGTTTACAAGGGGGTTGTCTTGGTAAAACTTTCAGTGGAAACTGCTTGCTGGAAAGGAAAATCTGATCTGAAGGAGTTGTGGAGATGAAGTACTTCTGCAGCTATTGCGGAACAGTTATGTAAGGCTGGGTTCTGGTTTGGGGGCTTTGTTTTATGTCCCGATGCATGGGATCTGCAAGATGCAAATGCACTGTGCCAGAAGTCTATTTTCCAGCACATGCTCTCTTTCCTCTGGCTTTATGAATCTCTGAAAATAGTTTCAGTAGGCTATGGGTGTGGGGATGGTTATTCTCACAGGCCTTGGCATTTCAGTTCTGATAACGTGATGATCAGTTATACTTGATGTTCTTCTGGTGACTAGCTTGTACTGAGAGGAAGCTTGCTATGACTGCTGTGTAACAGCTACCATTTTAGGTAAACTAGGAGAGAGTGCTTTCTCTGAATCCTGAATAAGTGAAATTAAGGCTCTGGATTTGACCAAAAGCTGAAGATCTTTTCTTTAAATCTGTGGTGAAAATGTAAAATAAACTTGTCTTAATACTGAAATGGGAGTGCAGACTACAGGACTGGGGAAAAAAGTGGGGAAGAAGGTCATCTTAAATGCTCATCATGGATAAGAGCTTGTTATTGTCTGTCTGAGTAACTTTAGCAAGGGTTAAGGAAAACAATGTATATGTTTCCATGAGCAGAAGCAAGCGGGTTCCCTTGGTAAGAAGGAAGCATTCAGGAAATTTGTCATGGGGCCCTGTGTTCTGCTGTGGAATCAGGCTCGTAAACCCAAAGACTAAGTCTGGGAGAGACCTTTGTGATGGCATTGTTTTACCTATGTGCAAAAGAATTTCCTACACAAAATTTAAATATCTGTACATTAAGTTACAAAACTTGTTCTCCTTGCGCCTTCTGAATTTAGATTTTCCCCTTGCGACTTAACACTAATACAAATGGAGCTTTTATAGAAGACTTATATTGCTGGGGAGGGGATAAAGTACTGTATGCAGTTAGTGTTTGGAGTACTGACAGGATTGAAGGTTAGCACAGGCATCTTAACCACCACTTTCTACCACCACTTTCTAGCCCTGTTAAGTGTCTATGCCTGATCTAAAGTAACACATCTCATTATATAGTTCTGAAGAATCTGTTCTCTTCCCTGTACAAAAACTGTTGAAATAGTAGCTTACTGCTGGATGAAGTCACTCATCCAGCTCTTCTTGCTGTCAGTTTTGGGACTTCATGGTGGCAAATATTGACACAATTACTTGTTTTGCAACAGAAATATCCGTTATGCTGACACTGCCTCCCAGACACCTCTCAGTGTGTCATGAGTGAAGTCTGCCCTCGGCTCTCCAAGATGCTGTAGTTTTTCTCCTCCAACAGTTTCTGATGTGGCTGGAATTGCCAATGGAGAAACTACTAGCAGACTGAAAACATTGGGCAGTGAAGCTGGCGAGGGGTCTGGAGCATAGGCCTTATGAGGAGTGGCTGAGGTAGCTGGGATTTTTTCCTCTGAAGAAGAGGCTCAAGACCTTATTTCTTTCTACAATTATCTGAAGGGAGATTGTGGCAGTGTGGGAGTCGAATTCTTCTCCCACCTAACTAGGGATAGGACTAGAGGGAATGGCCTCATATTGCACCAGGGGAGATTCAGGTTGGATGTTAGAAAATACTACCACTCCAAGCATGGTCAGGCACTGGGATGGGCTGCCCAGGGAAGTGGTGGAGTTGCTGTTCCTGAAGGTGTTCAAGAAACATTTAGATGTACTGAGGGACATGGTTTAGTGGGAGATAGTGTGATAGGTGGGTGACTGTACTAGATGATCTAGGAGGTCTTCTCCAACCTTGGTGATTCTATATGGGCAGTGAGGTGGGGAAAAAAAAAAAAAACAAAAAAAAACCAAACAACACTGTTTCAAAAGGCAAACAGAAGACAGTGTGATTTGGTTCTATTATTTTTTTTGTATTTATTCTTTATTTGTAAATGTTATAGTGGTGGTTGTTTTTTCTAATGGGAGCAGAGCAGCCACTCAACCTGCAGCTTGCTGTCCTTTCTGGTAACACCTGTTAGGGCTCAGTTTTCTTCATGGAAGTCTGTCTGGCGTTTGTCATCTCTAGAGACAGCCAAGAGTTGTCTAAAGATCTATCCAAACTGCCTTCAGCTTGTGGGGGGATAATAGGTGTATTTACTTATTGAATGGTAATGATAGTTTTATGTATTGTGTGTCCTGCAATCAAGGTGTTTGCTCTGTATTTTTCCCCTATAACACCATTGGTGGTGGGGACGTGGTAGCAGGGTTGAGGGCTTGCTTAGGCCTCCTTGACTGATTGGAGCAAGGCAAGGAGGAGGCAGGTGATGAGCTCAGTGTGAAGCAGGGCTGGCCAGGTGGCAAGAGAGTTGCTCTTTTTAGTTAAGGTTTGTAGAGTGTGAAGAATTTCCTGGAGCTGAGCACTAGCTAAACTAGAAGCACCATGCAAATACACAGTATACCTCTAGCTGATTGTATCCTTTTTTCACCTCAAGCTGCAGATGTTGTGGAAAAGAGAAGGCTTTGCTTTACATCTTCTGTGTGCGGCTTGGTTATACAACTATTTTTTCCCCATCTCTCTCTTTTCTCCAACATCTCTGTTCTTCAAACTGCCAACTGAATCTGCTGCTTGTACTTGACTGAAGTGGGAAGATTTTGAAGAGCAGCAGCTTTGCCAGAGCTTTTTTTGTGGTTTTTATCCAAGTTGATTTTAACTTACTCTGTTTCTGTGGTTCACTTGGGGCTACATATTCATCAATGTGGAGACGATGATCAGAAAGGAAAGTACAAGAATTTTGTATTTGGACAGTAATTGGTTCTCTGTAAAACAAGAAGTAACCAACCCAAACAGTGCTGTTTACTCTCAAAATATGTGGTTGTCAGAGCTCTCTTGCAGAAGCTCCTAATGGAATCTATCTGTAATGAACTGATAATGAGTTTTATTCTCTTGCATAATGCTTCTGAAAAAAGCATAGGGTTTGTCTGTTAGTCTTTCCTTTTGTTGATCATATTTTGCCCCTCTTTCTTCTGGTGAAATGTTTCTCTATATTAGCTGAATGGCAACTCTATTTAGAGGTATTTGTAAGGTGCCTCTGGGAATGGTTTGGGCACCTCTATTCTTGCATCTCTGCTAACTGAAATGGGAAGAGAAACCACGCTTGTTTTTCTGGCTGGCTGTGTTGAGTCATTTTTAAGAGGGAAAGGCTGCTGCTGAGGAGCTCCTGAAGATTTGCTCAAGTTTGCTCTTAGTGCTATCTTCACTCCTCCCCTTTCTGTCTTGCTCTTCTTTCTCTTCACTTTTCAGGACTGCTTCAATTTCTTTATCTTATTGCGAGTCCGTATTGCAGCCTGATGTGGTGGGGAACTGCTAGTCTGAGGCTAATTGTTAGCTTTCATTGCAGGCTGAGTCCTTGGATTTGAAGTCTTGTTGATGCCAGTGAGATTGATACCAGGGCCTTCAAGAGAAAAAGACTTTCTGATAGACCTGCTCCACTCCATTCAAGCCTATGACTGGGGGTTTCACCGTACCACCATCCTTTGCTCTCCAGTTGCACAAGATGGGTTCATTCAGAAGGCCCCGACCTCGCTTCATGAGCTCTCCAGTGCTCAGTGACCTGCCGCGTTTCCAGGCAGCTCGGCAGGCTCTGCAGCTCAGCTCCAACTCGGCGTGGAACAGGTGAGCAGCACCTATACACTGTGGGACTGATCTTTGTACTGTTATGTATCAGGCTATTTATGGCTAAGCTTGATTATTTATAAGCCTGAATGAGTTTTTGGCATGCCTGAGATTTGCAAGCATTCAAAGCCTCTGTGGAGGTGACAATCAGACTTAGGAGTTTTTGACCAGCCTCTTTTTTAGCCAGCGTTTTTTCAGAGATAGTCTTCTAAGTAAGACAAAACTACTCTATATTAACAGATCCACTTTTCCTAAAACATACTGAAAAACTTAGTGTAACAAAGGTCAGTTTCTTAACACAGCAGGAGTTTATTTGCATATTATGAATCTTTTAGATTCAGCAGAACTCAACTGTGGTAATTACTAAGCTCGTGGCTTCTACTTCTACCAGAGTTTCATACTGACAGTCAAATCCTGTCTGCAGTGCATATCATGCAGTGATGACCACTGGAAAAATGATGTGTAGGGTAAAGTGTGAGATGATCATCTGCTACTGAAATCAGGTGTTCCCACCTTTGTCTGCCATCTTGCGCCATCTTTGTGCTCTGCAGTCTCCTTTCTCTTGCTGAACTAGTTCTGCTTACTGCTTAATGTCACACAAACCTAGCCCAGCAAAAGCATCGTTGTTTTATACTAGGATAGAAAGCTAAGGCTACTGAAGTGTACAGGTGCCAAACTTGTTTGCAGAAGAGAACTTCTATTAAGCAAATGGCATCTCCTTTGTTGGCTGTGGCAAGCTTTTACAGCTGCTAAATCATTGTCACTTCAGGACTTCCTCTGCACCAAAAAAGAAAAGTATATCAGAAAAGTATTAGAGCATTCCTCAACAGCTGTTGCCATGCCTTATATCCATTAACAAGGCTTGAAGATGGGCCTGACTGATGCTGGCTGCTGAAGGTCTTCAGCACAGCCAGGATCCTACCAGATGCTGCCAGCTGGGTGGTTCAGCTGGTCCTGTCAGCATCTCTGGTTAGTGCAATGTGATGTGTTTGGCAGACACTGACAAAAATCTGTGTCTTCTCATAGCTAATAGCCTGCAGCACATATCAGAGATCCCCTAACCAGTTTGTTTAAAGATGCATCTCCTGATCGTGTTCTTTGTGAATGGTGTCCCAGTGATGACTTTCCCTTGCTTACTCTGAGTGCAATTTAAGACTAGTTCTACTCTGTCTCCCATGAGAGATGTAGGTAAATAAGAGCTGTGATTTTGAGGGACAAAAAGTGGAAGTATTTATGTGCAATTAACCTTTCCCACCCCTTCTTAGCCACTCAGCTTTTGGTGGCTATCTCATGTTGCACTCTGTGTTTAAATCATACTGGTGGCTTACTTATGAATGTTGTACTCTCTCATTTCTTTTTTGGCAGTGTTCAAACAGCAGTGATAAATGTGTTTAAAGGGGGAGGCTTGCAGAACAATGAACTTTATACCCTCAATGAAACTATCAGGTAAGTTGTTGAAATGTATGGAGAAGGGATTTTTGTTGCTGCTTGTTTGGTGTTTCCTTGTTTTTGTTCCTAAGTGGAAATGTAGTGAGAGGAGATAGGTGGGAGAAATACAGATGGGTAGGAGAGAACTGTAATGTGTATTTTGAATTTCAGGCTGGCTTCCTACCTTTTTTTTTTTTTTTTTGCTATGGGGTAGTGTGAAGAGCATTGGGCTTTTAGATAATGTTTAATTAACTTACGTGGAACTTTGTCAAGTTAAGGATATTTATTGAGTTAGAATACAAGGATTTTGTCCCCTTCCATGGAATTTTCCTCTTAGGCCTGTTTCCCTCCCCCCATTTATTTAAAGACATTCATAACAGTAGTAACATTTTCTGTCACTGTTTCTCTAAAATCAAGCTTCCCAGAACCACAGAGCATTTAAACAAAAAGAAGTTAACATATAGCATTTCATATATGCAAGTTCTATAGTGATTTCAGAAAAAGACCAGAAAATACTAACTCTGAAGATTAAAAGAGCCTAGAAGTTTAACAGTGATAAAAGTAACGTTTTTTATTTTGAGCAAGTCTTGTAGTTATCTGTGGTTTTGGTTGATTACTTGGAAACTGCAGTTAATGATAGATAGGATTATAGAACAGACACAGAGCAGTTTTATTCTTGTTGATTCCAAGTGGTGCTAAGAGGAATATTGACAGTTCACAATTGTAGTTCCTTATTCCTCCTCTTTTTCACTACATCCATATTCATCCATCATGAATGTTGTCATATAGGTGTCAACTTCCACATTTATATGCTTACCCCATCCCTATTGTGTTTCTGCTGTATGCCAAATCAAGTGGTTGCTGGAGTCAAGAACGTACTGAGCAGCGAACTACCTTTTTCCCTACTGTCAAAATAAATGCAGGGTGTAGTCTCTGTCCTACTTGATCTGGTCCCAAGGTAAAAGCTTCATAAAGTTGCTGTCTTATGCTTTAACATTATTTTAAATGTGCTTAAGGCAGAAATCCTCAAGTTAAATTTAAGTGCTTACAGCAGTATTAATTCTCCACAGGATGAGGATTTCTGTATGTGAAAGGGAAAAACAAATGTCGTAAGCCTTGAGAAACACCCTAACCCACAGCTTATAGCACACTTGAAGACTGGCTTTGGGTTTTGTGACTTGTCTCCTAGGCTACTGCTTGCAGCAGTGGCTTCAGCCTGCTTTCCTGAACTGGTGCAAGCAGGTACTCCTTCCCAGCTTCATGGGGAGGAGGTACTCTGGAGAGAATAGCACTTTGGGCTTGGCCCCTGTGGCTGGACCATGCTCTGCTAGCGTCAGTCACCAGAGTCAGTCTGGATTGTCAAGAGCTAGATGTAGAACAAGAAATTCTTTGTGAAATTTGTATGCTTTGTGTACAAGGTGGTGGTGGGAGGGGAAGTAAGCTTTTCCACTCACAGGTAGCACTTGGAAGCTCTTACTTTAAAATTAATGTTCCTACAGGTAGGTGTCTGAGCATTGCTCAAATCTCAGAATATCATTTTCTGAATAAGCTGTCTTAACATTCAAGCAGCTCATCAAATCAGTCTAAGGAGCAAGAGTCATGCAAGTGCATGCATGTTTGTATATGCATCTGCCGCTTTGCACCTGTGATTCTTGATCTGTGAATCTTGATTTAGCTCTCAACTAAATGTCAATACAGTGTGTATGAGGTTTCAGATAGCCAAGTCTTTTGTGCCATTAAATTAAGCTAGTGCATCTTCATCCTTTGTATTTCCTCACTCAGATCATCAGTGGAAGTTAGCAAATGCAGTGTTCTAATAACTACAGACTTTGCACAGTGCTTAACTGTTTGACAGTGGGAGAAGAGGGAAGTTTTAAAATTGGGCAGTAATGACAGAGCTAAGAGGTAGCAACAGGTAACATCTTGCTCTGTATTGCTCTCACCGGGTCTCTGTCTTGCTGATTTGATAACATCTCACTGGATAGTTTTTTTTTAATTGCTCTGAAAGCTGTCAAGAGGAAATGTCAGAAATGCCATTGAGAGATGGAATATAGGACACAATGAGTGACCTGGTTGTAGTTAGGAGGAGAATCCATCAGGTTCTCTTTGGGGTATGTACTTTTCTTTGCTGGAGTGGATGGGATGGTCCACTTGAGAGAGTAAGTGTCCTGCTAGGGCTGGCAAATTAGCTGATCAAAAGTGCTGAGGATTCTACTGAAGCCAGTAGAAAAGCATCTCACACACCAGCCCTCAAAGACTTATCTGCTCTCTCCATCTTGCAGAAATAGAAATGTACTTTGAGATGGGTGGGGCAAATGTAACTCATCTGAAAAGATGTAAAGGTGTTTCTGTGTTTTCTGAATAAATGTGGAAGTTTTGCAGAATGCTTGGTGAGGAAGATTGCAGTCAATATCTATGTTCACCAAAGAGTAGAAAAAAGAGCTTGTTGGTTGGTAAGAATCTAGCCTGAGAACTGGATGTCCCGGATGCTACTTTTGAGCACTCTTGGTAATGCTTCACTTTAGTGAAAAGCAAAACTATTAAACCAGCAAAAAAAAAAAAAAAAAAAGCAGTGTTTTGTAGTGGGAAGCATTGGGCACCTTTTAAATCTTGGGTAGAATTTACTGCTGCGAAATTTACCATCATAGTTGCTGAAAGCTGAAAGTTCACATGCTCTACACTGTGATCTGTTTTTATGATGTTGCTTTTGATTTAAAACAAGCCTGTTTTTCATCTTGGGATCTTGAACCATAAATATATATATTGGGATTTATCATCACCAGATTTCAAAAATCCATCTTTAATCAGAAGTATTTGTTGAGTTGCTTTGCTTGCATGTATATAAACAACATCTTACTACATTTCTAGAAATGTTGTCTTGAAAAATACGCTTTGTTTTCTGGTTTTTGGTTTTTATGTGGTAGCCATGGGGAAGCCACAGCTGCTGCTTGCATGTTTACCTCATAGCTTCTCTCCTTATCCTCCCACCTTCTGCTTCCAAGAGAAAAGGAAGTACTACAGTGGGGGGGATGCTATTTTCAATGCAATGGAAGGTGACTTTCCTTAAAGAAATACCAGAAAAAAAGATGAACTTAACACTAAATAAAAACTTCTAAATTATTTTCCAGTTTCTTATGCATTCGGGGATATGAATGTGGTTTGTCTGTTTGTTCCAGGTGAGTGGCTTATAAACAGAAGGTTTCAGGGAAACTTTCGTCATAATTTTACAATAGTTTTTGTAGGCATTGGGAGAATATATACTTAGATGTAAAAGAAATCTAATTGCCAAAAAGACACATTCGTATACATTCAGGTATCTTTGATATGACTGGTAGGGAAGTGTGAATCTTTTTTGAAAGAAATGACCAGCAATGGCTGTTACTTCATGGATGCATTCCTTCTGTCTACAGACGGCTGCTGAAGAGTGAACTGGGATCCTTCATCACTGATTACTTTCAGGTATTACGTGATTTACTTGCTTTCTTGAGATTTGGTCTGTTTAGTTTTTTAGCATATAGGAGACCTTTTTACAAGCATGTAACCTACAAGTTTCTTTTTTGTTTTTCCATGAAAGATCACGGAGATATTCTATCTCTTAATGTGGCCCATATAGCCCCAGAAGTAACTATTTATGGGCATATATGCTAAAATAGGGCTAATCTTCCTTTGCACGTAAGAAGGGCTACCAGCAGCCTGCCAAAAATCAGGGGATTCACTTGAACTTCTTAAAAAGATGGGATGCCTTCTTTCTTTTTTGCTTATTTCGCTAATGTTGAGAATTCTGGACTAGGTTTTCTGAAACAAGGACTAGCAAGGGGGAAGAGAAAATATTAAAAGCTTTCTGTTTTGGGGGGTGCAGATAAGGAAGTCCTTATCAGCAGGAAATCGACCTGGTTACTGTTTGCCTTCTAGAATATAGATGCAATCTGTAGAAAAGCAAAAGGTGAAGGATTAGGGAAGATGCAATCAATCAAAGATCTGTTATTGCTTCTCACTGATGTTGTCCAGATAGACCGAGGTTCACATGCAACCACATGAAAGTACATGTAAGATTTTGAGAGAACACCAATGGCTTTCAGTATTGCAAGTTTTTCAGTGTAGTGCTGATTTTAAAAAGGAGGTTGCTGAAAGCGATGGATTTTTTTTTATTGTTGGTTTTATTCCTTTTGAGTAAGAGAATTTCAGTACTTTCTGAAGTGGCTGATGCTGCTGTGTACTATGCAACTGTTTTAAAGGGGGGACGTGAAAAGTGTTGTTTCCTACCAGTATTAGATTACTTGACTTAAAAAAGAAAAAAAATCCCCACTGTACTATCAAATGAGAAGCAAACTCTGCCCTGGTGGCAGCTGTTTCACTTCTTTAGCCCCTGTCTGTACAGCTTTCTTACTGGAAGGAAGCAGCTCCTGGTGGTAACTGGTGGGATGTTTCCTCGAAGGGGACCACAGCAGAAGGGGGGTGAAGCTGTAGTACAAATCCGTAGAGCTGCTGGAAATCTGTTGCTATCCTAGCTAACTTGAAAACAGGCAGTCAAAACTTTGCAACTAAATATATGTGGAAAAAAAAAAAACTCTGTAAAAGCTTCTTCAAGAGTTCACATACTGTGGTGTAGGCATAGCACAGTGGTCTTGGAAAAAGTAGAGAATTTCCAGAGGCAGCTTCATGCCTCTGTGAGGCTGAGCAGAGCACTGAACCACGCATGACTCTGAGGGATGCTGGGTGCTGATGCACAGCTGTTATCTGGCTTTGAAGATTCAGTGTGCACTGGGGAAGGCCTGGGTGGCTTCCAGTGCTTAACAAGATACAGCTGTGTTGTGTCACTGCATGGGACAGGCCCAAGATGCCTGGGTGCAATGCTGATGCTGGGGTTTGGGTGTGTTGGTCTCTTCCTCCAGGTTATGGATCTCCTGCCTTTGTGATTATGCCAGAGCCAGTGGTGTTAGCTGCTGCTCCTTAGCTCTCCTAGTTGCAGAGATAAGGATAAAAGACATGGGTTACATTATGATCTGCTTACCACTGGGGCTGCCAGCTGGACTTGCATTGTGTTTCTGTTGGCAAGCAGAGGACACCTGACCCCTTCCTGGGAGAGGGAACTGAGCACCAACACTGCTTCCCTTAAAAGCAGATGTGAGAATGTGCTCTTTCACCCTGATGGCAGGGCTGTACTACTTCATCTGAAGGTTGCAATCACAATGTATGTACTCAGCACTACTGTGGCCTTTGCCTCAGAGAGCTTGCAGTGCAAGGGTTAGGCTGCAGTCTCTTCTGAATTTGTTTTTCTGTATGCTTGCACTTGTATGAATATCTCAGTGTATATATGCAGTAGTTCAGCTGCTGTTCTCTCACTGAATCCTGGGACTAAAATTTGTTTTGGGGGGGGGATTTTTTAAACTCAACTTTAAAGAAGAAACTGATATCCATCAGACTTAGCCTGAAGCAAAACTCACAGTGATGGCAAGCCATGAGGCAAGCACTGTGAGATAAGGGCTGTTGTAGGAAATGATCTCTCTTCCCTGATGTGAGTTAAGATGCATATTTCTGATTCTAGACTGACAGCATGTGCCAGTGGTAAATGTTGCTGTTCTCTCTGAATGTCTTTACTCAAAGGGCCGTGGAATGGGGGAAATCTGTTCACGTGACAGAAAAAGGCTGACAAAATTTTCTGTGGATTCAATTTCACTATTGATGCCAGCTAACTTAAAGCTATGTTCTCTACTAAATGACTTGGCTGAAAAAGAAAAGGGGGAAAAAAAGATTTAAAATTCACAGTTAGGTTGACTGTCTCATCGGTCATGCGCCCATCCTCTGTAACAAGAAGGAGGTGATGGGAGCTCATCATCAGGATGAGGAGGGGAGTAGAAATGCTTATTTTGGCACAAACTTTTTCTGCATCCCTTAAAGCCCTTTTGAGAAGTTATCCTGAGAACTGAGTTTACTGTTTAGTTGACGTAAAACCTGGAGGATCTGCTCTCATTTGTAGCCTGGCAGTTTTAAATATCCTAGCAGTAATTAGAACAGCTAATTTGTTCATATTTGGATGTGACAAATTGACTTAAATGCTTTGTTTCTTATGCTGCAACATTGGTAACAGGAGCTGCTAGGATCACTTTGATAAATCATTGTCATGTATATTTTATACTCATACAGAGACACTTTTTTTTCTAACCACTGAATGTTTTAAGAGTAAAATTGAGCAAAGCTTTTACTAGTGAGACAAAGCCACCTTTGTGATCAACTTGATTACTCACAAGTCATTTTCACCAACTCCCATGAAAAGTACCAGGTTTTAGCTACTGATGTTGCTAAAGGAATGTGTAGGAAACTGATGGGGTTTAAGTACTCTTTCTCTGTGACCAAACCTTCGTCATACCAGAGTGTGGTTTGTATTTGAAAGAGATGTAATTCCTACAAGGCTTTGGTAGAAAGTCAGATGTTTCATTCTGAAGGAGATTTGTGTTTATAAATTTTCTGCTTTAGCAACCCAATTAGATATACAAGCCATATACTTGGATCAGAGTCTGAGTGCAAATGCCAAATAGCTGGGATTCAGCATACTCAATATTTGTTGCAGATTTGCCTTAATTGCTCCAGGTTTTCCAGGACTGAATTTATCCATGACCTGATACAATAGTTTCCTGCTACTGCAAATGGGCATGTTGCACTCTCTCCTGCTCAGTAGTTCTGCAAAGCTCTCACTGCTGGATTGGCTGGCTGGTTAGCAAGCCACAGGCAGGGATCCCATGTTAAGATGTCAGTGTTTGTAGGAACATAGTGAACTCTGGGGCAGCTGTGAGACTTCTCAGGTAAGCTCCCTTTGTGCTATTTGATAGCTATGTTTGTGAAGAATATTTCTCAAACATAAAACTAATGATTATTATCTGATACATTATCTTTCTGGTTCTGCGTGTAGCCTGAAAGCAAACCTTTGGAGGTGATGAACTGTCTTTTTTTTTAGCTCTCCGGGGCTTGTTAATCTTGAAACTCACAGAGGAAAATGGAAACGTTAGCTGTTTCACAGCTAACCACTTTAGCAGAACTGCCTGGTTTGTGCACGCTAACCCCAAACTGCCTCCTTCCATGGCAGACCCCATCCCTTCCCTACCACAACCATCCTCGACCCATGCTCAGGGGTGATGTGCAGACCCAAAGCCCATCAGCTCTGGTGCCAAAAGTTGTGGCTGAAGGATGACCAGCTGGGTAGGGGTGCTCGTTTACTTCAGTGAGAGCTTTGACATCTCAGAAATAGAAGGCTGTTACATAACTCCTATCCTGTTGCAGTGTGCTCTGGGAGGCAGGGAGCTCTGACTCAGGGTTAGGCCCAGCTTTCTGCCTGTATGCAAAATCATGCAAACCACAGTGCACAAGACTCATGTTGCTGGCGTGTCAAAGTCAAAATAACAAGATCAGAGTGGATAAGTGCAAAAGCAAGCAGCAACAGCCCAAGCCCTAATCCAAGCCAAAATGGATTTTCTGTCTTTGTTGCTGCTAAGAGTTCAGTCAGTGGGGAGCATGTCCATCCCTGTGCCAGGCAGTTGTGCAGGGGGATGTATTGTATTCACCCTTCACTTAAATCCCTCTTCTCTCTCTGACCAGGACTCTGCCTTGTCCAGTGTCTCTTGGGACTCTTTCTCCCTCGAAAGTCTGCTCTATAAAGTTGTGCTAACAGCAGAAAACAGTGTGCTGCTGCTTGTCCTGCCCAGTCAAATAGAAAACTGGTGTGCATGATGCTTCCCTTCCCCATGCCAGGCTTCTACTTTTGCCTGTTTCACAGAAAGGCAGGAAACAGTGGTGTGGGTGCTGAAATGGCTCTTTCTGCTCAGTGAGGGCACTGCTCACACTCCTTGTTGGGCCTCCCTTGTGCCTTGTACCTCGTGGTACTGTCTGTGAGGGAAAAGGACACCTCCACCCCTGAGTGAACTGCGGGGCTCAGCCGTGCCCTGCAGCAGTCCTGTGGGGCAGTCTGCTCTTTGCTATTGTATTTCCATCTTTGGCTGAGAAGCCCTCTTCAGGCAGGCCTGCTGATGATTTCTGTTTCGTCTGGTGCTTTCCAGGAACTGAACTGGTATGGTGCAAGTTCAGAGGCTCCAGCTTTGTTAGCATGAGGGGCCTGGGTGGATTCAGTCTCTGGCCTGTAAGCCCAGTGCAGGAGCCAATCCTGGATAGCTGCGCTAGGAGATGCCCACCTTCAGGCCTCTTCACCTCTGCTCTGTGCATGATTCACTGGTTGTTACCACTCAGAACTTTCTGCGGGGCTGTCCCCAGACAGGCTCTGCAGGAGGCCATGCTTATGGTAGCAAAGCTGTGGGTGCACACCACGTGGGATTTTCCTGTAGCTGCTGCCAAGTGGGGGCATTGTGGTCTGGGTCATGGTGGAGCTGCCTACTCGTCTGCCTGCTCTGCCCTCCTTACTCCCTCTGCTTTGCTTTCTCTCTTCATGTGGGCTTTCTTTTTTTAGTCTGGATTTTGAGCAAGGCTGTCTCTAGAAGTGTATTTTAGGATACTTCATTTACTTCACTTTTTTCATTTTGCTGTTCTGTGTTCTACATAGGATTCTGTGTTTCTATCACTGTGTTCTCCTCTTTATAGAAAGAAAATAAAAATGGGGGACGGGCATATGCTTTGGGTTGGAAATTCTGCAGCTTACTAAGACTTGCATTTTTAAAACACTGCCAGAATTGGGTAGGTGTTAGCATGCTAGTTGCACACAAACTAGTAACTTTTTAGAAAATACCTGGTAAATAAGTTAAAGTGATACTTATTTTTTTTCTCGTATTAATGTCAGATCGTCCTGGAAACAGTGGTGATGAGCTTGCATCACATAGGCCATTTCAGTGACCAGGCACCTGCACCTCTGATGAGCAATGTCTCATTTGTTTCTGGCTAAGTCAGCTGGGTTTGCTTGGGCTCCTCATGCTGTGACCAAGCACTCTGGCTGATTTTGGTCAGAGCATAGTAGGACCCCACATAAGGTAAAATTTTTTGGATAAGTGCATCCTTCAAGCTTGTTTGGTGCAAGTTTCTACTTGATCCTGCTTGTAAAAGTAAGATTTCTTTTTTCCCTTCCTTTCAGCTCTGTGCCTCTTGTTTTGCCTCTGGCATCCAGGGATAAAGCAATAATGAAACCTGTAACCAGGTCAAGTCTGATACACACCTTTGTGGTGGCTGCCTTTATTACATTGTATCGATTTGTCAGCAAACCATGAAGGATTTTTCTAATGAAACTTACTTACCTGTCTTGCTTGATCTGAGAAGAAAATGTTTGAGTGGAATCAATTTCTAGGCCTGTGACTTGAGCAGAAAAGAGAAAAAATTGAGGAGATGATTGAAACACCTCTGGTCACTACATGTTGTGGAGCTGAACTTTTTTCTTAGAAGCTCTAAGAATGAGACTCTGTAATCTATACAGTACATGGAAATAGTACATAAAAGCATTAAAGCAGAGTAATTTTTTCCTCTGATCTGGGGGTATCAAGGTGTCTGCTCTGGTCCCTGCTGCTCCAACCAGGCTGGGAGGCACACAGCCTGGGACCTGGGAGCATCTGCTCACTGTGTCTAGTACTGTAGAGTGCTCTCTTGGCACCCACAGATCTTTGACTGTAGTTACAAAATTGTGTACTATTTGACCTTCTGAATCCATTCACACATGCAGAAGTCCTTAAGGCTCTTGTCTTCACACAGTTGTCTGTGTATAGAAGGGTGATTTTTAGCACGTTTCTGTGCTGAACAGGAATGTTCAGGTCAGCTCTGATTCCTGTGTTTGAATTGCTAGTGCTGTTGGATAGTAAACTATGGAAAAATTTTGTAGTGTGTGGACAGGATTGTTTCTGTTCTGTGCCAGAGCTAGCCAAGGTTAGTCTTGTGACTAAGATGGGCAATTCAAATAATATCATTCTGTGTTTTGACTCTAAGAAATGCTCTGTTTCTGTTGTGTAACTAATATAAAATAAACCTATATTACTTTGAGACTAAGACTATACTAAATATTTTTGGGCTTGAATTCTGGGGGAAAGGAAAAAAGATTATTGCTAGTAGGACTAAATTAGCTTAAAACAAACATGACCATTGACTCTTTTAAATATTGCTCAGCACATATGAGAGAGTGTTATTGCCAGTGCTGGGGATGGCCATTCCTCTATCCTCTCATGACTGAGCTCTGGGTACAAACTGGGAAACTCTGCATCAATGCAGTGTATCCAGAGATGGGATGTATGGGGTGGAGGGTGGGGGAACAGCAGTCCCAGTTTAGTACTGGCTCTTGAAGTAGGACAGATGCAGAGGTGGGTCTCTCTCTAGGCCTGTGCTGGCTCATACTGTTACCTGTTTGTGTACACTGACCAAAGCAGGCTGGTCTATGGTTACAGGGGAAGGCAGGTCTGACCTCCTGAAGTAGCAACACAGAGGTAAGTTTGTGGTACAGCAGAGGTGATGTGGCACAATATTGTAAAGGTAGTGTCCCTTGGGGGCGAAAATAGATATACGTTGTTTCTCAGCTGCTGAAGCAGTTGAGACATGCAATTTTGACCTGACCATGAAAGGTTTTCCTCTGCTCTTCTGCATAAGGGTTTCAAGTATATGATGGCTCTGTTGCATTCCTTCATCAGGCTGTGTCAGAGAGGGGTGGTGAGTGTGCAGAACTTGCAGTAAGGCCGTGTCTTGTGGCAGTGCTCTGAGAAAGTGCTGTGGCATGACCAAGCTTCAGTTTTATATAAAGTGGATAACATCTGAAAAAAAGTATGTGTTCTTCCATGTTTATTTTGAATAATGGAAAAGGCAAATATGTCTCTCTTCTCTTTTGGCAGAACCAGCTCCTTGCGAAAGGCTTACTCTTCATAGAGGAGAAGGTTAAGCTGTGTGAAGGCAAGTACAGTATGAAACCCATCTTGGAGTGGAGTCCTCGTGGGCCCTTCTGAGTCATGCTTTGATGTTTTGCTGGAGGAGATGATTTGCACAGCTAAAATGCTTACAGCCCTTTCTGGTACTATTTGAGAGCGTGTCACAAACTTTTGGGGCCAGGCTGCACTGCAGTCTGTGCATTCTTATGGCTGGAGGGCTGTTTGCAGAACCGTATGGCTGCAGTATTCCTGCCAGCCACGTCTTCACCATGAGAGTGGTAGCGTGGGTCTTGGATGGCGTTGGAACCTGGGCTAAATGCACTTCTAGGCTGGACATGAATCCTGTTGTGAAGCTGTGCTGAGAGTCCTCTGCCTTTTATTTCTGAGTGTGATTTGCAGCTCTACAGATTGGCTGTTTGGATTCTTGGAAGCATGATTTTAGTTACAGCAGTACTGTGTCATTATACTTTTGAGAGCTGAGCTAACAGGTCTTGTGTAAATGTAAAGAGAAAATAGTCATGTGGATGGGATTGAAATTCTTCAGGAAAGAAGCTAACCATTCATGAAGATCTGTTCAAACCACTGGGTACAGATGCCTGCTACCACAGAGCCTGTGGACCAAGGCCAGCTTGGAGCAGCAAGGCTCAGGGGTAGCTGTTGGGGGAGTTAGTCTCGTTATTAATGGTTTGCTCAAGCTGAGAGTGCTGGCTGAAGCACACATCTTTATTCAAAACTAGGCTACCATTTGATTTGACCCAGTTTTGTAGCCTGTAGGGAAGATCCCTTGCTAATCATCAGCTTGCTGTATCTGGGTCATTAAATGCCAATAGACACTTAATTTTGTGTCATTGTTGGCGCTGGATTTCTCTGTGCTGTTCTTCATCAAGTGACTTGTTTATCTAGCCAGAATGCTGTGGGGCTGACTGGACCTTGATGATGGAGCTGTGCAGTTGCCAGCCCTCTGCTTGATGTGTGCTGCTTTAGCACAGACTCTGTAATGTAGGGGAAAAAACGCAGATTTATGTACTACTCATGAATGTGGGTACCTGCCATGCTGTTGCAGCTCTTCCGTATGGCTTATCAGTCTGATATCTTGCTTTTTGTGTATTCATATAAAATATTCAAACTTCTGGTTTAGCATGAGGAAAAATGAGTTAGTCTACAACAAACTGAGAGCAGATAAGTAGTTTGCAACCAGTGAAGTAGTTTAGGTGGGATTAAATTTTCCTGGCAGACAGCAAATCCCCCCCTTGTTATGTTTCATTATTTTCTTTTTTTCCTCCCTTGTTTGAAGCAACCTTGGAGCCACTGCACCCATGCAGACTGGCATCTCTGCGTGAGGTAATGACTCATGACCACTTTTCCTTCATAACATGTAGACTTGTTCCAGGTCCTGTGGTCGCAGCAACAAGAACTTCTTGTACATGTTCTCTGTTAATTCTGTCTTCCTGGAAAATTTCTTCTGTCCCAGTACTCAAAGATGGAATCATGTTTCTGCTGTGGGGCATGGCAGTGTTTTTACTGCATCTGTTTTTTCTAATCTCAGTCTCATATTTTACTATCATTTTTCTTGCTCTACTCTGTCAGTCTCTTCAGTGCCTGTAGGATTTATGAGTTCTTGAATGGAGAGTAGTTTGTTTCTTCTTCAGAAGGAAAAAGCATTGCATTTTTAGCTCCACACAGACAAATTACAGTTCTGGGGAGGAGACGGAGGGAGGAGAAGTTCATCTGTTTCCTGTTGTCTTTTTCACTTATGGCTGGCAGTTTCAGGCAGTGGGTATCTGTTATGGGGGTGCTGGGTAGGTCTTGTGTGCTCCACTTCTGAAGCTGATGTCATATCTGAGATACTTCCCTCTCAGCACTCTGGCAGTGAGTCTGCTTGAAAGGAAACATCTGTAGAACCTGGTCCTACTGACTCCTCCCCTCTGACTGGGCTATAAGCAACGTGACCCATGGGCAATCCACTGGAGAAAGCCCTTGTGGGAGTCTCCAGATGGGGAAGACAGCTGAATGCATAGCGATATGGCTCCCCTCAAATGCAATTTTATTGTGTTCTGGTTCCTCACTTAAGCTTGAGGCTGAGGCTTTGAGACTGCCTTGAGCAGCTGTCTTCATTTACTGTTCCTTGAATCTTGACTATTTGAGGGCTCCTCCGTATGAGGCTCTGTGAGAGGTGTCCTGGGAAATTAATTTGTCAGAAGCTTGTATGGGTCTGTATTTGCTCCTGGAATTTCTAGGAGTTGTATCTAAAAAGCTTGGCAGAATGCTGGCACTTGAGGATGGAAAAATCCCCTAAAAAGCTTAGAGTTTTGGGGTCTAAATGCTGAGAAACATACAGCTGTTTAAGTCAACCCTATAAAAATAATTTAGTGTCTATTTGAACTATAATGTTCAGTAAAGCATTTCTCTGTTAATAACAGGTTTCTTGACCACAGTTGTATTCTTGTTATGGGAATCACGAGTTGCATAGCATAATCTGCCTTCATTTGAAATATCCCCTTGTTGGGGGATATGTGTCAGAGTCAGATTCACATGAGAGCTAACCACAAGTGGATTTCACTTAGGAACCTTCCAATTTGCCACGTTTGAGAGGCGAAACCTTAAGAGGAGATCTGTGGCTTTGTGGCCCATCAGAGTTGTGGGTTCCTGCAGGAGTTCATGACTTCTGTGTCTGTTCTTGAGGGTGGTCAGATGCTGGAGATGGCTTTGCTCTTACAAAAGGTCTCTCTGACTCAGTGGCTGCAGGACAGCTGATACTGGCTGTGACCTCCCAGCTTCCATGTGCAGCTGCTAGCACACAGGTAGGTTCCTGTAGTAGTTCAGTAATTGTGAGCTGTGAAGTTACACGGTCCTTTGTTTGGAGTTAGTCTCTTTACAAAGAAATGCTTCACCATTTTGTTGGAACTTGTTTTGTATGGAGTCTGTTCTCTTTGTGTTAAGTGACAGAGCAGTTTATGATCACAACCTTGTTTGTCAGTTAAGGCAAAGCTTAGCTGACCTTTGTTGCTTTCTGTGAGGAAACTGAATGTGACTTTGTATCTCTTACTTGGGGAAGTAGAGAGTAGTGGAACAACTCAACTTACTTGACTTCAGTGTCCCTCCTGCTAAAGCTCTTTCTCACTCCCAATCTCTTTTTGTAGGTGAGGATCGCATTGACATCCTGTCTGAAATTTGGGATCACTACTTCACTGAAACTCTCCCTACACTCCAGGCAATATTCTACCCAGTCCAGGTAATCTTAATTAAAATAACTGCAATGTTTGCTAACAGTACAGGGAAATGTCTCTTTCAGAAGAACTGGCTAGTGGTTAAGCAGGTCTCAAAGCCTTGAAGCTAAATCTGAAAGGAAGTAGCATTTGCCCAGATCAGCATTCATTTTTAAGAAGGACTGCTAATATCTACTGGGCAAGTACAGTCTTCTGAGCTCTTATTTCCCTTTGTCTACCTTCTGTCTGTGCTTAGCTACATTTGTATCCATAAACTATTAGATTATTTGTCTAGATTGAAGCTCTGGACCATTTGCTGAAAGTAGGTTCTTCCATTTCTAAATATTTGGAACTCTGGTACTGATGATAGTGCTGACAATTTGCCTGCAGGGAAGGAAATATGAAGATCAGATCATGAGTGAATGTGTCTTACTCATCCAAACTACTTTTGGAGTGTTTACGCCCAAGCTCTGTCTTTGGAAAATTCTCTGTTAGCATTTTTAAAGCTTTATTAAAGGGGCAAGTAAATCTCTAAGGACAGATGAACAACTTGTGTAAGACTTACTTATACTGGGTATTTTAAATCTGAGTATCCCATCAGAAGTGTTGGGCTCTCAGTTTTTTCATGTAGCTTTGGTCAAAATTTCTGTATGAAAAGTCTGGATACCTTCCTAGGCTATTTTGATCTTCTGTTCTGTTAGAGAAGCAAAAAGGTACTTCATGAGTAGACATTCTGAGAAATGCTAGCTGCTTTCTCTTGACTTAAGGCTGTCCATGAAATACGTTTTCTGGAAAAGCATCTTTTCTTTTAGTAATATTCCCTTTGTTTTGTATGAAAGACAGCATGTAAAGCTCAGTTTGCCCTTTTCCTCTAATCCTATTAAAGCTAGCATCTCCTAAAAGAGCAAAGCCCTTCTATAAAGATAAACGCTAACCTTTTTACTGTGTTTATTTTTATTCTTTCCTTGCTGCAGAAGCTTAAAGGTAGGTGTTTAGCAGCTGAAACTGCACAATTCCAATATGCTCCCTTTCTCTCCCTTTGCAACTCACAGTCATGGAGTGATGTCATCTATTTATGTGGCATTTTGTTCTGCTCTGCAGTTATCTGTGCACTGTAGAAAGAACTGAGCAACTGTTATGTGATACCTGTTATGTGATACCTGTGAATAATAATTTGTACACTTACCAGAAAAATCTGCTTCAGTGCAAAAACTACTGCACAGTAGTTGCAGCTTTTGGAATTTGGTAGTGATTAAACTGAGCATGGGATGCCAAGACTCTTTGAAATAATAACTTTCTTAGTGTCCATCTTGTTGCGAAGTTTTTGTCAAAGATATTTCACAGAAACTGCTAGGGAAGTATTGCTGTTTAACAGATAAAGAACTGAAATGTAACAGACTGCATATTTAAAACTTTGCAAGCTGTCCTACGTACAGTTATGGATTCGACTCCCCTAGCTGCATCTAAGAACCTTGACTCTAAGTGAGTTGTTGGTGCAGCAAGGAACTAATGAATTTTGCTCTTATCCTGAGCTAGTGATCTGATTACAAGCTTGTTTTTTCCTACAAGTAAGGAACTGTATGTGCCTATTTATCTGGCGTATCACCAAATGTAAAGAGATCATCTAGCAAATCTCTTTCACCAAGCTGCTGTTCTTCATGCACTACTCCAATAGCTGAGAGTCTGTGTGCTGTTTGTTCCTCAACATTTGAAACTCCTCTGTTGCAAACGCCAGCGTACATGTTTTGTGACTTTCTGTGATCCCAGCAGCTGACCATTCAAAATGAAAGTAAGCTGGCCAAATATGTGAGCATGTTACTGGTGGCAGTAACCAGAAGTAACTTTGTGTCTCAGCTAAGTTTGAACCTGAGGCGCATAGCTGTTGCAGAAGTATGACCTTTAAGCGGCCAAGTGGGTTAAATTGCTGTACAGAGGAAAACTATGTAAACAGGTCACTGACTTTAATATAATTGCAGCTGTTGATGTAACCAGTTGGTGTGGAAAAAGAATAGCAAGTCTCATTTTGTTTGGCACAGCGGTATGTTTGCATTTAGAAATGAGATATGAAATTAATGGGGCTAAACCACATGGTATAAATAAAGTGTGCAGCTGCTGAAATACAGTTTGGAGATAAATATGAGCCAGACTGTTCTACACCTTGATGTTTCTAAGCACTCGGTGATGGTTTAAAAACAGTAAAGTGCTTTTACAGTGGCCGTGCTGCCTGCCATCCCACTGGCTTTAGGTCATATTTACATATTGATGATGCTGTTAATTATGACATTAAAACCATTATGAATTAATAATTAACTGATGTTAATTCCTTCCAAATTCCAAATATTTGCCTCAGTGAGTATGTTACGGATACTATAAAATGGTTACAAAATGGAGTGCAGGTCAGAGATTAACGTGTTGGGGAGAATAAGGAAAACTTTGGATTGGAAAGTAAGCAGGTCCGGGAGGAAACTTTCTGCTGTTAAATGGGGCAAGATAAAGTCACATGTACCTTCTGCCTAGCAGAAGGAAATGTAGTACTGCTAGAATGCTCAATGGGGTCCAAGGATGTCTGATGTGCTTAGAAATAGAACTGTCTTGGTAAGCTAGCTCACTTGTTGATGTTAAAGGCCACAGTATACTTTGTGGTGGAAATCAAAGCTGTTGCCTTCATTCTGTCTACTTCTTTTTTTAAAGATGTTGGTACAAGCAGTCCAACAATCTTTGTTCTAAATCTGGAAATCTATAGTTGACTGTATTGTGGATTTGTCTTACCAGCCAGGTCTAAAGTGCAGGTGTTGAGCAGACAGACACAGAACAGGTATAGGCTTGATTAAAGAATATTCTGTGCTGAGCTCTTTCCCTACCAAATCTTTAGTGATTTCTCAGCTCCAAGCATCAAAAGCACCAGCTGCATCCATCCTGGGCTTCAGGTGTTTGTGACCAGATTGGCTGCCAGTTGGGTTTTATGAACATGTAATCTTTTGGTGAAATACAGGCCCCTTTTTGGCTTTACTCCAAGCCCAGCAACACAGCAACGCATAACATAAGACATTATTCCTTTCAGAACTTATGTGAAACAGAGACTGAATAGGAAGCTATCAGTGCCAGAAGTCCTCACACTGAGCAGCTGGGGGTGCTTCACCACAGCAGCGATGGGCAGGATAGGCCTGTTCTATCTATGTATATGCATGTGTTGTTGTAGTGCTCCCTTTACTAACTCTTGAATTTTTGCCTTCTCTGTTTTCTAGGGTCAGGAGTTGACCATCCGTCAGATTGCACTTCTTGGTTTCAGAGACTTGGTCTTGCTAAAAGTGAAGCTGGAAGAAATTCTTCCTCTGGTCCAAACAAAGCTTCCAGCTTCCATTGTCCAGATGCTGTTAATTCTACAGGTGGGGAGCTTCTGGTTTTCCTTGTTTCACTCCATTTGAGACTCTTGTCCTCACCGAACTGATACAAACTTTGGAAAGGAGAACTGGGAAACCAGTGGGTGAGATGAAGGGGAAGATATGTGGTCTTATGTGAGAGTGCTAAATGTAAAAATGAAAGCTGAATTTGAATGGTTAATGTCCTGAGCTTTCCTGGAAGTTGATAAGGATAGGTCTGTGGAAAGGGTCAGGTTCTGCTCTTGTTTGCATTTTTCTCGGTACTTTGTCTCCCCAGCTAGGGACAGTCCCCATACTCTTGTAATTTCCTCATAAATTTCCCAACTTCTGTGAACACGTAGTTCTCCTGATTTGTCAGCTTTGTAATGACCCAGCAAATCTCTTTATATAGGCGACAAAGGCACTGGAAGGAGTATTGCCTGCTGGTTCCCCAGGGCCTTCCTCTTTCCTAAATGGGATGCTGGAACCCCCTCTATGAGAGAAGGAATATCTTATGGCAGCATTCAAAACAGTGCAGGTTTTCCAAGGGCATCTTCCAAGAAACACAGACTTCTTTTGAGGATTGTCTTTTATAATCAGTCTTGAAGAGAACAGAATCCCTGTCTTCCAAGCAGGGCACGTATGGCCAAGTTTACTTTTTTTTAATATTGCTCAGCCTGACAGTCCTGAAAAATACATAATCCGTGTAGGTGTTTGGCTCCCTTCACTTTAATTTCTCTTCAGATATACCTTATGGGGAATAAAATTTTTTGAAGTATGTATGATCAAAATAGCAAAGTAGCTAAGTTGGTATTTCTGTGAGAGTTCTCACTCAGTTCAGGTATCCCCTGTGACCCAGGCTATAATAGCAGGAAATATTAGAGTGCTAGCTCAATTTCCATATAATATCTTAAAAAAAAAAAAAAAAAAAGAGTCTGGGGGCAAAGAGAATCTCAGTGACACATCTGAGAAAGAAAAGTCTACTGAAGGTTTGCAGCAAGCTAGTCTGTGGACACTTTCTGAAATTACAGTTCAATTGCTTAGAGTTAGCTACAATCTTTCATAACTGTAAGCTGAACTAGAGAGGGTGCTTCTCCTGCAAGCCTGTCTCAAGGAAAGAGCAGGGCTTTGCCCAAGCTGTGATAAGGCATTTCTGCAGAGATATTTCCTGGCAGAACTTCCTTAGTATAGCTGTATTGCTGCAGTTATTCTGTGTAAATCTTACTGTGTAAAATTTACTGTAAATGTTACTGTAGCTTGTTACTTTCCTATCCCTTGGTCATTTAGAAAAAAAAAATAAAAAAAAATAGTCCCTTGGTTGTCTGACGATGACTTGAACAAGGAGGCTGGTGTGAACAGCATGCAAACCTCCACTTTGGCTCTTCAGCTGTGTTCTTTTAAGTACTGTACTGATATGGCTGTGATATTCCAGAGCCAAGATATTTGGTGGACTTTAGTAGGACCTTACTACAAATGGGTAATGATGGCTTTTCACGTTTAAATTTCAGAGTGTCCATGAGCCTGATGGCCCCAGTGAGAGCTACCTACAGCTGGAAGAATTGGTCAAGCAGGTGGTGTCACCATACTTAGGTTTGTGTGAAGACCACAGCTTCTCTGGTAGCACCTGCTTGCTTGGTAAGACATGCAGCAGCATACGGAAGCTCTTTCAAACACTTTGTGTGGTACCAAGGTTGGCTAATAGGATGCAGTGCACATCTGTGCTAGAAAGGAAGTGCTGCATGACTCCAGGAGAGAGGAAACAAAGGTTAAAGCACCCTTAAGAATGTCCTGGTTAACATATTTCTGAATGTAGATCATCTTAATCTGCTTTTCATTTTCCACTGCATGCATGTGCAAAATCTCCCCTCTCTGGAGGCAGGCTGGATTTTAAAGTCTCTGTCTGAGGTGTTTTTCTCACCCTTTTGCACTAGTGGAAATAGCACGTTTCTTGTCTCCCTGCTTCCCGTTCTTGCTGGCTCGCCTGATTTGACTACCTTGATTCCAGCAGTTACTGTTGTATCTGCCACCCTTTGCAAGTTGCTTAATTCTTGCTTACTCATCTTGAGGGATTGTTTTAACTTTTTTTTGCATGGAGTCTTCCATGCATTTGAACATTCTTTTTGGGGGAAAAAAAAACACAATCTATTTAAACAGCGGATAAATGGAGCTAGGAGAGAATTGTCACCACATTTCAGAAAAGTGATGGTCATAGCAGAAAACCTCTACATATTATTCAAGAGCTCTGCTAATAAGCATGGCCTGTGAGAAATAGACTAGCTAAGAAATAGATATGGCAGTGCTGTTTAGGTAACCAAAAAGATTGAAATAGAGTAAATGAAGAAAGCTCTAGCCCCCTACTGTTTTGTGGTACTTCATAAGCTGTAGCCTCTCCTTTGATACAGACTTTGTCTAGATGAAGGCACAGCCTGTTTGGTGTTACACCTTTGCAACATGGGCAGGGTAGAATATGGTCTTATGGCAGAATGGTTCATCAGGGCTTGGGTGCTCTCCGTCTGTAACAAACTCCCAGCCTGTAGTGCTAGGGTAGTGAGAAGTATAACTGTCTGACCTGTACTGAAGTTCCTAGCTAGCCTGGATTTCTGCCAGCTGAGCAAAGTATTGGTGTCATAAAACAAAATTCACATGAACTTTACAAGGCCAGTTCATGTGCCTTAAAATCATTGTACTTCCTTTGATTTTTTTTTTTTTTAGCTGTCACTTCTGTGTATTTTCAAGGTGGCCTTTTGCCCCTGCTCCACCCTATGCTGAGCAAGGAGAAGTAACTTTTGTTTGCATTACATGGCAGAGACAAAAAGAGCAGCATCTTCCTGCAAATAATCTTGTTTTCAAAGTGCTGCTGTGGTGGTGGTTTTGTCTAGTAATTGCTGCTTCTTACCAGATTTCTCTCTTCCTCTCTCTTTTCTGTCAGTTATTTTGCTTTCTCAGAGATGGTGTATTCTGTCACTAGGCAGCTGGTAGCGATGGAGAGTCGCAGTAGGTTCCCTGCCATACAGTGGCTCTGTGGTGCCTTTCTGTTGGGCTTTGGATGCTTTTGCATTCTCAGTAGATGCTGAGGAGTCCAAACTGCTATCTAAAACACAACCTTCAGGTTGCATTGGTTTTGAGAAATGCAATTGAGGAAGATTGTGGTCACAGCTGTGAATAAACATAAGGCTTTGGCCTTCAAGGCTGCAGTATGTTAAACTTGATTTAAGCTGAGAGAGGAAAACAGCAGGAATAGGTGTGGGGGGGGGG